TGAAGTAATACATGGATGGACGGATGGATGGATGAGGCGAATCCGGATTGAGCGTTTGGGATGGGTGGCTGTCCGGCCCCCGCCGGCCCCACCCGCAAAGGGGAGCCGGCTCGCGTGGGAAGTCTTCCCCGACCTTTTGCCAGAATCTGCCTCCTGTCACTATTATTTCGAGTTGCGGGCTCTGGAGTGAGAGCGAGCGAGCGAGCGAGCGTGACTGACGGTCCTGGGGTGTTTGGAAAGTTGCGTGGCACACGCCTGCGCGTGCCCAGCCGCTCTCCGGCAGCCTCACGCCTAGCGCCCTGGGCACCCTTGCCTTTCCGCGCGCCTTTCCCATCTCTTTGGGTCTGTTGCAGCGGGACCCGGGAACTGGCCACCGTACTTGGGGCGGGGTCTGAACCAGCGCAGCATATTCCTCTTACTTGGCAAGCCTAGTGCAGCCTAGAATTGTGTTTGCCTTCCTAGGAGCCAGACAACATTGCTGACTCACATTCCGTTTATCAGCTCAGTTTCGGCTTCGTTTTCATGTATACTGGGTCACCACTGAGTCGTATCCTATCTCTGCAGTTACGACTGCAGTTGGCGCATGCAATTGGCGCGTGCGTGTGTGCAATCGCAGGGAAGCCATGGAAAGAGTTCATGTGACTGCGGGGGTGCTGCAATGGCCAGAACTTCGACAACTGGTCATAAGTCCCTTTGCTCAGCACCGTCGTAACTTCGAACAGTCACTGAACAAATGGCCGTAACTCAAGGACTACCTATAAAATTAACCTGGCAAGATTTGTTCTGGACAAATCCATTTGGACTTCTGGAAATTACTGCATGGTATTCACAGTGCTTGCAGATTGACCAGATTTAGATGTGCTCTTACTGGTCTCTGGTTTTGCCCTTTTTGAAGACCATATTTGCTCCCTTTCAATCAGTTTTCCAGGATTTCTTAAAGTTTAATGCTAAGTTTTAGCCAGACTAGGCCAAGGAGTTTCAGAGTAAAAAGATATACGTACTGTGTTTCTGTCTCAAGCTTCAGTCCAGAGCTTATGCTCCTCAAGACAGGCTTTCCATTTCTAGGAAGAAGATTTCTTAGCTTTTAAAGCTTCCTGGACACTGAGCTGGCCTTCTCCTTGTTGATCGTGGAATACATTCTATTTAAGCCTCAATCTTTGTTGTCTGAAATAAATTCTTTGCCCTCTTCGCTTTTCCTGTTGGACTCTTCTGGCAATTTTCCACTTGCCTATATGCAAAATGTGAGATTGTGGTCACTGTACCCTGTTGGTCCACACAGTTACATCTTGCACCAGGTCTCGGTCATCACTTCAGATTAAGTCAAGGTTAACCTCTCTTCTGAAGCAATGAGCATGAAACTGAGCAAACTCAGGGAGGCAGTGAAGGACAGGAAGGCCTGACGCGATGTGGTTCATGGGGTCATGAAGAGTCGGACACGACCGAACAACAGCGAACAAACCTCGGGTTGCTTCCAAGTCCATCTGTCCAGAGGCACAGTCACTTAGGGTATCTAGAAAGATTTCTTTGCAATGTGCTGAGTGTGACTGTACCCACGCCCTGTGACAGAATCTCCCATTATTATGACCTCTCAGTGGTACACCTCCGCGATTTCTTTCACTGTCTCCAGATCACCTTCAGCATTTTGGTCAGATGGACAACAGCCAAAAGTGGCTGTTTAGAGGAAGCTAATCTTCCAGTATTTTCTGATTATTTGCATGATTGATATAGCTGCCCATCTCACCCAAATGACTCTGGGTGGCTTACAAGATTTAAAAACACAGAACAACCCGAAACATATACAAATCCAGGTGCTCAAACATAAACAGTAACCCTTCTCATAGAAACAAAAGCCCATTGACAACAGCAGAGCTTATCTAACCACCTGACCCTTTCAGAGAGTTTAGATCCCATAACCTTGTGCACTTTGGGTCTCTTCTGTGTTCCTTTGGCAAGGAGACCAGTGATCACTGTAGTTGTGCATGCCAATTAAAGGCGCTTTGTTGCATCTATCTCCAACCTCTTTGGTTCCTTGCTTATGGGGGCGATTTCCCCACCACATGCCACAGGGTGTTCTCAAGTTGCTGCCGTTGTCTCAGTCCCCCTTGCTCACTACCTGGGCTTCTAGTTGCCTTTGCCAGCACTGCTTACAACAACCGCTGCGTAGCCCTCTCAGGTGCCAGGCTCTGGGCCTTTGTGTGCCAGTCTCCCAGTCTCCAGCATCTTGGTCCCTCCATCTTCCAGTATGTCTGAGTGGTGGTTCTGCTGCTGCCCAGCTAACTAGCCACTGCCTATCTTCTGGCTTTTCCATCAGCCACCCTCTGCCATCTTTCATGGCACCCTGTTCTTCCCTGGCATCTTCAGCTTTGGGCTTCCACTTCTTTTTGTTCTTCCTTCCTTCTTTGTTCAACTTGATTCTTTCATGGTACCTCCCTCCAGCGTACTTTCTGCACTTCTCCTTTTGCCACTGCACAGCAGTTGCTAACAACCTCCTCCTGAGACAGCTGAGCCCCTTCTTAAAGGGCCAGCTCTTCATTCTCTGCCAAGTAGGGCCCTGAAAAGGTACAAGTGAGGGAAGGACTGCCCTTTGGGCCCCTATCTCTCTGAATTGTCATAAGGATGGGACCCAGAACATCCCCTCCCTGCA